GATGTCACCACGCAAGCTGGGACCATGATGGCTGGGAGGCTGATAATGATGAGGCAGTGGCCTGGCCCATTGCTAGCCATGAGAACAGTGTGTTAGTTCATTTCCTATGCTACTTTACAATGCTTACTGTATCTGTAAGATTAAAATGGTTTGGAGGAATGTGCCAAACATGGGGTTTGATCCAGCACCCAGTTTCCGTTTGCTCTCGAGCTTTTGTGCATTCTGAAACACATGAAAAATACTGTGGTAGCCATTTACCCTAAATCAGACTTTTTGTATCTCTCCTTGTGTTTCTGCTTGTGTGAGATCTTGTGTAACCAGTTTCTTGGTGCTGTAATATATGGGCAAGAAAGCTCTAGGTGTTGCACAAGATCTAGAACACTTTGAATGGCACTGTCCATCTACGTTTCTCCTTGTGCAGTGCACTACTGAATCCAAGCCATGATATTGAAATAAAATAAAATAGTTCTAAGTCATATTATTTCTGCAATATGTATAGGGTGCCTTAAAGGTGGTGCCAAAGTTAATGCTGAAGGTTTTTGAGACTTTTCCTGTTTGGGGCTGGCTTTTTAATTTGGTGTATTGGGATTAAGCTAATAGGGGAATAGAAGGGGTTAGAAGGTTTTTAGATGCACAGTTAAAGTATATTTGGTATAATGTTAATGAAATATGTTCCACAGCAGCCGTAGAAAATAGGGCCAAATTATGCATTTGAGAGATGAGAGCAATTAAAAAAAAAACCAAAACGTATAGATATTGCTAGACTCTATCTGTAGCCAAATGAAGAGGGGAAAGTTGCAGGAATGTATGGCTGTAATTCATAAACAATTGAACAATGTCCCGGGATTATAGACTTCATAGATGTACAGGTAACATTGCAGGTCCGCCACCATTCCTTTGAGAAAAGACATCAGAAAATCTGATAAAGGAAACCCCAAACTAGGGAACCCCTCCCCCATGGCCATAGTGAACAGGGTGCCTGTCAAAGAACTGATGGAATGGTAACTTTCGGTGAAAAGAGGACAGGCAAGATAATTGGCCTGTCAGATAGCAGCAGCTGCTTGAAATCAAGAGTCCAGTTCCATGAAGATGACTGCGTTATAGGTCTTGATTCAAAACCCAGAAAGGTTTTTCTTCGTTTACTTGAGCTATATCTTATTGTGAATCAAGATGAAGTTCAAATAAATTTTTGTATTGTTTTAAGCTTTAATTAAAACAGAAGAGTCTTGTCTTCAAAATTTATTTATTTCATTTGTAAGAAGAGGGAGCGTTAGATTTATACCCTGCCTTTAACTCTGTATTGTGGATATGATACAGCCTCAAGTTAACTCACCGTGCAGGTCTCTCTCCATTATCCACTATATTGTTTAACAAGCAAGTAAAAAGCATTTTTAATTTGGACAGTCTTCAGATTTGGAGAGATACTCTGGATACAGTGGAATAATTAATCACTGATCAGATTATTCTGGAATATAATTAAACCTTTTTTTAAAAAAAAGAATTGGGGAGGGGGATAAGCATTTTCTCTTCCAGTTCTTTTAAATCAGGCATGTGGTCTGCTAAGATAAGATAATTGTCTCAGAGATAAATCATATTTTGAATGTTTAATTAGTGACCAATTAAGTAAAGGACATATAACTTAAGATATATCCACTATTGATAGGTCTGGATAATCGTCTTTTAAAGTATACAGAGAAATGGGGGGAAATATTTCCAGATTAGTATGAGTTTGGAAAAATGGGATGGATCTGCAGATCTCCTGAATCATGTTAAATTATGCTTTATATGCATGACACACAAACGCCCTATATGTTGCACATGCTAAATAACAACCCACCAGCATTAGGACAAACAAGATGATTGTTGTTGTTCAGTCGCACAGTTGAGTCCGACTCTTTGCGACCCCATGGACCAGATCACGCCAGGCCTTCCGGTCTTCCGCCGTCCTCTGAAGTTTGCTCAACTTCATGCTCGTTGCATCTATGACACTGTCTAACCATCTCATCCTCTGCCATCCCCGTCTTTGATTAGATGACTAGGAAATGCAATTAAGAAATGCTGGCTACCAAGTTTGAGAGATTAGCATCAGGTTTTTTTTATAGCATCTCTAAAATGGAAGGAGGAGAATTCAGACAGATACAAGTAGCAACCATGAGGCTTGATCTTTGTGTATATTATGTAGAACAATTCTTGTTTATAAAGAAATACAAAGTATTGTGAATAAATTCTGGGTCAATAAGTAAAGGAGAGAACAATATTTCTGCTCTTTGTTATTATGGAAGAGAATTAAGGCTGAATTAAAGTACTTTTCAGCCCGTGTTTTACTAATGGTATGCTCATGTGAAAAACAGCAAGGATGTTTTAAATCTGCCTGTTCCATATTTCTTCTGAATTGATTGATCGATCACAAGATTGTTGATTTGCAATCACATTTTGACATTCTTGCATTTCTGAAGCACATGTGATTTTGGTCTGAGCCATAATATTTACTGCTCTGCATTAATCAGGATCCAAACTGAATAAAAAAGAGCAGCATTATCCAATGGCTAGTTGTCTCAAAAACAGGCATGTGTGGTGGAAAAATCCCTGGCCTCCTGAAAGCTTTCTTTTCCAGCAAGACTTCTTGCAATTGTGAGGTATGGTTATTCATCCACAAATGTTTGGCACCCACTCTATGGCCTATTACTAGCTGAATGTCACATTAACTTAACCAACCACACAGCTTGCTTTCAACCAGCCCTGATGTACATGCTGTTTTTTAAAATTATGGTACAATTGTTTTCTAAATTTCTGAATGATATGAATTTCTGGTCATTAACAGCTTTTAGGGACGTCAGTGAGCAGTACTCATGGTTAGATTTTAGTACTTACATTATTACTATACATCGCTGCTTGCTGGCGCTCATTAGAAAATTGTCTATTACCATAAAGCGGTAAGAGCCTGAACATGTTCCTATGGAAGTAAACAGAAATGTTGCCAATGCTTACTTCACTGAAACTACTTAGGATGTTATTTTTGGAAATGGGATTTATATGGAGAAACACTTCTTGTAGTTTAATAAGTACTATTAGTTGCATCATTTGCCTTTTAAGTTCTATTTCAAACATTCCTTTTTAAAATAGTTTCTGACAAAATTGTAGGGGCCATTCGGTCTGAAATTATTTTGGTAATCTCTTCCCCTGCCCCACCGATATGATCAAAAGCCCTTTTCAACCCTGATATGATGTAATGAATTTGAACACTCTTTGCCGACAAACCATGTTTATCTTTGTGGTTTATATTTATTTGTCTCAAACCATAACAATAATAGTTAGCATTTTCTTAGTGGTCCCCAAAGAGTCTTTATCAAAGAGAGAGGTACGTTACACAAAGTGGAAAAAGTGAAGTGCAAATGACTCTTTCTTTTAATGTGTTATCCCTCATGTGCTCAGCGGAAACTTGTATATCTTAGAACAGTACTCACATTCAAGATTTACTCCAAGTTTTCAAGCTACTCTTTTACATTCAACAAAGAAAACTGGGGGGCGGGGGGAGCAAAACCAGTGTACTCTTGTCAGTTCATATGAATTCTCATGAAACACTTAGGATAATGGGTGCATTTTATCCACTTGTTAGTCTTAAAGAATGTAGTAAACAGCCAGTGGTCATCCTTTAGGGATGTCAGGTCCCCTTGTCGCTCTGGTGTGGAAATTTGTGGGGCAGTCCAGGGGTGGGCAAGGATGCCCCCAAGCCCTGCCCCCAAGAGCGACCACCTGCCTGGATATCCTTCTCCCTCCCCTCCTGCCCAATTTAAAGGGCTTCAGCTGATCGGTGGGGACCACATGGCCCACTGAACAGCTGGAGGGCCCTTTAAATCTAGTGGGAGGGAGGGAGGGAGAGTGGTAGTTGCAGATCACATACTCAGGTTGCAAACAGATCCTTTAAAGGGTCTTTTTGTGAGTGGGGTGGGGGCCACAGTGTGCAGGGCTGGGGGAAATTAGCTGGCTGGGGGGAGGGGTTGGAGCCCCCAAAAGTGGGGGAACCCCTCCTAGACCTGGGGGTTGGCAACCTTAGCATCCTTACTTCAGCTGTCTAAAGGGAACACCTACACAAGTAACAGCTTTGCTAATCAGGGAGAATCGGGGAAAAGCTGCCCTTGGTGGTTTCGAGGGAATTTCTGGAAAACAGGGAGTCTGGGTTTGGGGTTCTGGAGAACACCGGTCTAGCATCAGGAGAGAACTGTGGGGTTATTCTGAGGATAGAAGCAGGATTATTGGAAGTCCTGGGGCTAGCCAGACTTTCAGTTACCAAAATTCTGTATGTATTACAGTGTAGCCTTGTAATACAATGGCAACGGTGTTCCAGGGATCCAACTTCTTTGTGTGCTAATGTATAAACTTGATTGTGCTGGATTTATTGTCATTAATTACTCAGTCATTTTCACTTTTTTAATGCATGGCCATTTATGCAGCCTACATCCTTACAAAGACTAAAGCAGATAGGGATCATTGTTTTTCTTAAGAAGCTTTTCTTCAAGAATGACTTTCTAGAATTTTTTTTTACATTCACATTATACAGGAATTAAATTTAATGATCCTAACTAAATAATATTTAGATATGTAATGCCGTAAAGGGGGTTGGAGATTTAGGCAGTTTGGCCAAAACAAAGGTGGTTCTTCACCTCCCTCCTCCCTCCTCTCCTCCTTTTTCCTTTCCACCTGCTTGGAGAAAGCTCCATTTCTTCAGACAAGCTTTATAATTACCCTTCTGTGCCTGGTTTGAGCCTCCAGGAAAGGCCCACAGCATCTGTAAAGCTGGCAACAAAATGGTATTTCCAGGCAGGCAGGGAACTGCAGGGTAGGGAGCCAATTCATGGGTTTGTCTGAGCAGCTGAGGACTTCGGCTGAGTAATACCAATGGTGTACAGTAACACAGACCTGTGCCATGAGCAAGCAAAAACAGCAAGCAAGTGCTGGGACCAATATTTATAGACTAGTATGTGGCACTTCTGGAAAGGGGGAGAGAGAGAGGACGCATATACACAGAAGCAGAGTGAGAGCAACGTGTGGGCTGAGATGAAGGTAGATTTGCATTGGGCTTTGGATTTCTTCCTTAAAAATTGTGTTTTGTTTGCGTTTAAACAAAGTTGTGTCCTTTCCATCCACCAGGTTTAAAGTGTGCTTGAAGGTGAACCGCAACAATCTTGTTCCAAGGATGCAAGGGAAGTTGAAGGATTCCGCAGGTATGTTGTTGGTTTTGTTCCAGCTCATCTCTCAGTGCCTTTGTTTGCTTTCAAGAGTGGCATTAGCATCTGTGACAGATCGAACTTTTAAAAGTGCTGTGTAAGCAGATAAAGGACTGTGAAGGGTTAATTCTTTACAGAACCAGAGATCCTTGAGTGACAGGCTGTTCCAAGAGATCTGCTTGGTTAGCATTAGCTAAGCAGAGAAAGACTTCTGAACTGGATGCTGAGGAGAATTCAGTCTGATTTCAGCCCTAGCTAAGAAGAGTTGGGTACTGACAGTTTCAGAATTCAGCCCTGACTGAGAGCAGTTTAACACAGACAGGGGAATTCTTGAAAGTTGGCAAGGAAGTATGGGAAGTAGACAAAGTGAAGAGATCTCTAGTCCTTCCCATTCTACTGTACAAACAGATAAAGGACTGTGAAGGGTTGATTTTTCACAGAGCCAGAGAACCTTGAGTGACCAGCTGTTCCAAGAGATCTGATTGGTTAGTATCAGCTGAGCAGAGAAAGACTTCTGAACTGGAGGAGAATTCAATCTGATTTCAGCCCTAGCTGAGAAGAGTCGAGTACTAACAGATTTGGAATTCAGCCCTGACTGAGAGCAGACAGGACAACTGGGGGAAAGTTGGCAAGGAAGTTTAGGAAGTAGGTGAAGACTCCCATTTGAGCTAAAGACAGGGACTAGATCTTCTAGTGAGAGGAAAATCTCCCTACCAAGTCAAACAGGGACTTAGCTCTGAAGAGTGCAGAGATCCCTGGTCTGATGTGATTCAAAATTGCCTTTAGAGTCCTTAAGAGTCAGTTAAAGACTCAAGACGAGTACTGGTGTTTCAAGAGAAAGGGTTTGGGGTACTGGAAAGAGTGTACCAGCCTTCTGGAAACAAAAAAAGTAAGAGAATATTAAAAGAAAGTGTGCTGGAGTGTTTGGGGAAAACACTGGATCAAAAGCTTCTCAACATAAAGATTTGTCACTGTGGAAAGCTTAAGAAGCTCTCATTAGCCTGAAACATAAGAACTAAAGTCTGTGCATGTACTGGTTTTACCGCAGAGTTATCTATATTGAGTAACCTCAGAAATTTTATGCCTGATTTCATCGGACCTTTCCCCTCTATGTTGAGTAAAATATTTTGTTAAAAATTGGAATATAAATACTTTTCGAGTGACATTTAAGTTATACAATTTAAAGGGGGCTTCCATTCCTTTCCTCAATTCCTGGGCTGAACAAACAGCCAAAATGTTGTACTGCAGTAGGGTGGGACAGCCAGAATTCTTCAGGAAAGAAGGAAACAGACAACTAGGGCAGCTCAGTCAAAAAAGGGAAAGGAAAACAGGGAAAATCTTGCCTCTGAGGGACGGAAGAGGATGGGGGTGTCATAGCATCTTTTGATAAGCAGAACCCTGGGATATAATAGATTGTTAGTGCTGCCTCCCTGCTGGCTAATGACTGGTTTTATGACTGTGCTTGCCCTTGCAAATGAGAGTTATGTCACTGGCTGAAATGTTAGGCTTCATTCATTACTGTATTTGTATGGGGGCAAGTGGTGATGGTGGTGGAATTTCCAACTCTCAGTCATGTCAGGGGTGAAAAGTTTTGAGGATGAAATTACTGGTTTGCTTGTACCTTATGCTTTTTGCTTCCAAGTATCTATTGGCAGTTTCTAGTTAATTTCATTATTTCACTTAAAACATTTCTACCCTCTATTCCTTTGCAACAGACTGGGTTACCTGAATGCATGCAGACCTATCAGGACCTGGTTTATATAATCCCCCTTCCCCCATTCATCAATAGTGCCGAGCCAGAAAAAGGCATTAACTAAGCTGTTCACTGAGTAAATGTCTGTATATTGTTAGGTTAAAGCTGCATGTGATAGTGACAGATCCTTTGGTTTATATCCAGGTCTGTCTGCCCCAATTAGATAACAATGTGGAGAGTGTGTTGGGGTTCACTTTCTATGGTACAAAAGATATTGCCGCACCATCTCCCTGCCCACTGCTTGTTTTCCACAGTCTGCCTGGTCCCCGTGTCCAATGATTTGCTTCCCAAACAAGCCAGTGCCAGAAGTGCCTGGATGGATAAGAAAGAAATGTGGAGAGGTTACAGCTCTCCTCACCTGTATACCCATTTTGCTGTAGAAACTGAGCCCTCCCACTTTATACATGCTTTTGGGGAAAGACCTGGTATCAGTGGTTCTCAAACAAAGATTGCACCTCCAGTCAGTTCTTTGAGGATCTTTTACCAATATGCAACTTCTAGCTCATGTAACATGTACCCACCAGCACTGGTGTATAACCTATGCTAGGGATGGAAACTGTTGCCTGCACGTAGGGCAAATAATATCTAAACCAGACTTGTCATCGCTTAAGGTCAGGAATAGTTGGATCCCTACAATGGAAAGGTCTTTTCCGTGTCCTGCTTTTCTGCCATGTCAGCCACACATCTTTGTTGAAGCATTATATTAATTCTTAGGAGACACAGTATTCATCAGTTAGAATAATACTGAGGTCTCCTAAGGTAACAGTTAATGAGTTGGCAAGTCTGCTACGGGATCTTTTTTTAAATAAGCCCAAATATAATTAAAGTAATTTCCCCCCAGAAGTTCTTCTACAGCACGGAATAGAGAATGAGTTTCTGTACACTTGCAGAGCATGCTTTGTTTGTTTTATGAACATCTGAACCTCCCTTATATTGAGTTCCTCTAGATCATTATTGTCTATTGTGACTGCTCACAGCTCTCCTGAGTCTTGGGGAGAGAGGTTTATCCCAGCACCTCCTCTCTGAGATGCTTCATGCTTGGAACCTTCCGCATGCAAAGCTAGTGCTGTAATACCGAGGCACTGTTGAGGTTTGTGGGGGAAACAGTTTTTGCTTCTTTGCAATAAGCTAAATAGGTTAAGGAAATAAAAGCTAAAAGGAAATTAACATAGAATAAAAAGCCTCTGTAAAAAGGATAACCTGTCTGGGTTGGGATACGTCTCTGGGCTTGCCAACAATTCCCTTAAGCTCAAAACTCACTTAGGGGATATATTCTTGAATAAAATAGATGTAAACTAAAGTACATTATTCACGTAATGTATCCATCAGATAAAATGGTGTAAGAGACAGAGAGAGATGGAAGTTTAGCAATAGTCAGCTTTATAATACTTGACTTAAAAAAATGAAAATACAAACTTTTCATTATCTAGGTCCAAAATAGATTTAGGCTAATACACCCAGTCTTGCATTCCCAAGTGGGCAGCACCATCACTGTCATCGCCGCTGTTGCCTCCTCCTACTTCTCAAACTTAAATAAAATCCATTTCTAAAAACACCTCCTTTCGACACCAAGTAGGCACCAAGGTTCAGGGTCCTCTTTCAAAAGAACCATAATAGCATTTATTATCTGTATCCTCATAATATTGACAGTATGCCAAACATGAGAACAAATGTATTTTCCAGCAGTCACTGTGGTTTTAAACAGCCTTTCTTAGCAAGGTGAATAAAAACAGTATGTATTATTTATTCTGTGCAACTAGCTGCTTTGTATGAAATGAAAGATCCTGCTCAGAAAAGTTTAACTTCAAAAACTCAATAGTTGTGGCTTATCTTATGATGCTATTAAAACTGGTTATCCTCCTTTATTTATTTCATTACATCCCACCTTTCTCCCCAACAGGGACCCAAAGCAGCTTTCATGGTTCTCCTTTCCTCCATTTTATCCTCACAACAACCCTGTGAGGTAGGTTAGTCTGAGAGTGTGTGACTTAAGGTCACCCAGGAGACTTCCTGGGCAGAATGGGGATTCAAACCTGGGTCTCCCATATACCTAAACCAATATATTATTTTATTTCAAAAAGTGTATATCATCTTTCCATCCTGTTGTTCCTGTATTGTTTTCTGCTGATGTAATGCCATTTTTTTCTGCATTGTATCTTCACTCTGTATCATGTCTGGTACAGTATTCATATTTATGTATTTTTCATCCTACTTCTTTATTATATGTCTCATCATATTGATTGTATCTGTATACCCTGTGTAATCCACTTTGTTTGAGTCTGGGGAACTATAGATACAGTAAATAAACAAATACTGACTGCAAGTATAAATTCTGATTTGACTTAGTATGAATTGATCTCTCAGGATAGAAATATGTGGATTCTCACAGAATAATTGTTTTAGCCTTCCATTCCCTATCTTTTTAAAGCTGGCTCCAGGGTTTTCTTAGCGGTTCCTGACACTGGAGTTCCCTCACGTGAGCTTCCTATTTCTGAGGTTCTGCAAGCCCCAACCCCCACCAAGCCTGCGCTGGCGGAAGAGGACTGATTTGCCTCCGCGAGAGGCATGAAGAGTAAAGATACCTAGGGGGAACAGCCAGCCTATTTAGGCTTGGCTCCTGCCCCCTACCTTACCAGTCCGTCTGCGAGCTCAGCCCACCCTCCCATCCTATTTTAGTGCAGATCTGACCGGCTGCCTTTTCATGGAGCCAGGTAGGAATTTTTCGCCTCCACCGGTTTGGCCTATGGATGGGGGTGTTTTTGCCTACCTTGCACTGACGATGGTGGTGTTGGTTTATTGGCTTCGGGGGGGGGGCTGGGTTATTAAATAGTATGGTCACTTTAAGTTTGGCGGAATAGCGTGATCAGGATGGAAATGGTGAGCACCGTGGCATTGTTATAAAGGAAATAAAGGGTCCTCCAGGGATGACTTTCAGGCCTTTGCGGCTCAAGGCCGGGAAGGGGTGATCTTTCTTGGAACACTCTGGCTCGGCCTACCTTAGCGGGCCTTTGTGGCTTCTGAGGTGGTGGGTCAGGGGTTCTCTTGAACATGCCACACTGCTGGTCGAAAGCTACCTTCAGTGGCGTGAGATCAGAGTAGGTGCATTGCCCAGAAGGAAATGAAGGTGGTCAGGAGTTTGACACCTCCCATATTCCTCAGTACATTTCTGGTAACCCCTCGCTAGTATTTGTTGTTATTAAATAATTAGTAAAGTGGCCCTTGTTAAATCCATATTGGTGTCTGT